AGACACGATGAGATCTTTGGATGGAAGGTGTTAGAGATAACAATCATGTTATTGTTATTTACAACAGAAGATGTGTACAGAGGCTAACTAAATCAGTTTTGCAATACTATTGGCTCATAAACTGAATCTGTTAAGGAGCAACATTACGCAAACCTTAAAATCCAGAATGAGCTCTCTGGAAAGCAGATGCTTGTTGGTATTGAACCATCACAGAAAAGTTGTTTTTTTCCCCGCTTCTCTTTCTTTTGCTGGGGTTGCTGCCTGGGATTTGTAAAGCAGCACTGCTTATTAACAGCACAATTTTGTGTCCTGGATCCGACTATTCTGAATGATATATTCAAGACTCAAAGCAACGTTGCATGTAGCTGTTATCAGAAATTAAGCTAGTGGCACCTAAAAACATCCAGATGCTTTTCAAAACTGTACATGGACTCATTCCATCTATGATACCTTTTTGACCTACTCGCAGTCAATTTCCTCTGCTCCACAACACTTCCTCACGTGCTTCTCCTCTGCATCCCACCTCCCATGCCTCTTCGCGGTTGGGGGTCGCTCTTTCACTTGTGTTATCCCATCTCTTTAGAACTCCCTTCTTCTCCCCTCTGTGAGAGGCTCTGAATCACCCCCCTCCTTTAAATCTTACCGTAAAATCTTCCTTTTCTCTGCAGCTTGTGAGTGACTCTCTCTGTTTAAAGCATTTTATGAATGAAGGGAACTTTTCCCAGACCCTTTTTATCCCAGAGGCCTTTCGGCACAGCACACTGAATCCTTTCTATCAGTTCTCATCGTGTTTATTTGCAAGGCTCGTAGGACACCATTGATGAGTAAGCACCAATGAAAAAATATTATTGTATTAAAAAAATACATTGTACTATATAGTTGAAAGCTATTGTGTGAGATTTTCAGATGGTTGCCTGGGAGCAAAATTACTTTCCTAACCCTTGTTCAATTATTTATGACTTTATTGCTAGTACTTTCAAAAACAAATTCTAAACCAACCCTGAGGAAGAAAATATCAGATTCATTTGCTATAGTTCCATTTTCAAGATAAATAAAATACTATGAGGTTTTCTAATAGAAACGAAATCCACAGCCAAATGCCTTTGAGGTCAAATATTCTGCACCACGGCCGTCTTAGGCACATGCTGCTGTTGCTCACCCATCAGTGTTACATTAGCAGCTCAAGTTTCAACTCCCTTAATGGAGATACCAGAGTGGCAATGGATTTTTCCCATAGTACCTTTGGTTTCCCCAGGATAATTGGCTAGCCATACCTCCCAGACTTCATCCCAAAACCCTCCACCCTCCATATATTTAAAATAAAATATTTGGTTAGGAATGGCAAAAATCAAGCATACGCAACATGAATGCAAATCTTTAGCAAAATTTCCTATGGGCTTTTCATACCTGGGTGGTGGAGTTCATGGATGATAGTGGCTCCTCCCCCCCCCCCCCCCCACTCAGTACACACTAAAGGGAATAATGTATTAGTGACCAATTCAACTGTAGTGGGGGTGTTTGGCAGAATATTGTGCAAATCCAAGAGAAATAAATCATATCCCATTATCTTTTAGCCAGACAGAGTTAAAACAGCCTTTTGTTTCAGTACAACAAGCACACATTTAATAGCTCCCTGTAGACCGCAATGTTTGCAAGTTGGCTGGTTTTAAAAAATAAGTTGTTTAAAAATAAAAATAAGAACAATGCATTTATATGCAGCAAGCTAGTTCATGCTACCCAAATCATATTCATCTGGTAGCAGGTTACAATTACACATCAGCCCAAAGTAAAACCCCAGATTAGAACACTCCCAAATCAATTAAAACACCAGGCCACAGAAAATGCACCCGACATAATTCAGGAGAGATCAGGTACCTGCCAATAAGCCAAATTTTGCATGCATGGAAACTTTCACCAACAGTTATGATAGGATATGGAAAGCTGTCATATATAATGCCCTATGTGGTTAAAGATTTAACAGTCTTGGTTACTTAGCTCAATCCACCTTTTCCCTATGCATCAGCATGATGGCTCAGCTCAGCAGAGGAAGCTTTGCTGACAGTCCCCCCCCAGGATTGGTGCTAGCCCACTGGGGGCCCTAAGCAGGAACAATTCCCCCCCCCCACACACAAATAATTAATAGGGGGTCCCCTTGAGCTGCTCGGACCCTAAGCAATTTCTTAGTCTGCTTAAGCCTAGCACCAGCTCTGGTCCCTGCGTTGTGCATGCTTGAGGAGTGGAGGTAGAGGAGGAGAGCTGCATGACCAATATTGAAACAAGGGACTCCCACAAATAGGTCCATCTTAGCCTATAACCACCACCACCATGTCCCAGGATGACACACTGGCTGACAGGAGAGAACTAAGGACCCTAGTAATTTGTTTACTCATTTAAACAACATTCTTTCCTAACCATAACCAATAAAGAAGGCAGCATGATTTACAAACAAAACCAGAGAGAAGAAAGAATTAGTATAGAAATCTCACATGAAAACCTGTTCTCAAGTGACTTCTGGATAAGTCTGGCAGATCCAGGAGGTTCAGAATGGACAAACACATAACATATCTAAGCTTACATAACATGGCAGTGGCTCTGACTTTGTTCCTGTGGAATGGATAAATAAACCTCGGTAGGACACATGTTGCTGCAAAAGGCTTACAATACAAGTAGACAAGACAGAGAGTGGTGTCCTACCTTGACCCAGCTTGTCAATAACCAAGCCAAGACTAGAACCCCGAGTCCTGACTTCCAGTCCAGTGCCCTACCCACTAGACCATCAGCTAAGGAGATGCATGGGGTCTTGGGAAAAGGAATCCTCCACCAGGCTGCGGAGCATCAGCCCAACTGCTCCATAGGCTACAATACCAGCAGCTGCCCTTGCATTCCCACTACACAGTAGGTTATGGCCCATGGAACAAGATATTTGGGGACCTATTGGCCACAACTCTCCTGCTCCATGCTGCCACGGAGACAGCCTTCACACAGCAACACTCTGCAGCACATAAGATGTGGATTTCCCAATCTGTTCCCCTTGCACAGCAGAACGGCAGTGGTTCCAATGCGTTCAGCACTTTCCATGCCCACTGGTGTTGGGACAAGGACAGGATACATCCTTAAGGTAAATCGAACAAAGAGCTGTGATGTGCTTTTTGGATGCATAACACTCTCTTCCATAGACTTTTGAGTGCTGCTTGTAGCTAAGGAACAGAGGTGCCTTTAAATTTCATTCTGCATATTTTCCTACAGAACATTTTCAGCGGGGCTGCATAACAGAGCACCCAAGACTACAATGTATCTTGAACAATCACCAGGAAACAGGTGCAGAAAACAAACTATAATCATGAATCTAACCAAAGTTTAGAGGACCCATGTGAGGACATTTGCCTTAGATGGCTGTAATTTTCATCTCTATTTCTTTCCTATAATTGCCGGGCTCTAATTAATCCATACCAGAAAAGAGCAGCAAAAGGGGAAAGGAATGCTCTGGGTTTTTTTGTGTTCCTGCTATGCCTGATTAACACAAAGCAGTTTGGCAAACGAAGACACCCATCTTGAACATCAACATCTCCAACTGGCTTCTCAGGATCAGAAGCTAGGGTTGAAACATGCTTCTAAACTTCACATGGGCTCCGGAAGCTAACACATCTTAAAGATGGATCCTATAAACTGGTTCTTTGTGAACCAAAAAAACCCAACCAAATATATATATAATATTAAGAGACCCAACTTCTGTCTCTCTCTGTACTTGTAATATGCTCATTACTGTAGTATCTGTTTAAATAGCCAACTAAGTTCCAACACATTTTTTAACCTCAGGGATGTCTTTCACCCTTCCCCAATAAAGCAGAAGGTCAGCATTATTAAGCAATTAAATATCAAGGTTTATTTACCCCTTCCACAGGAACAAGGTTAGAGCCAGTGCTCTATTATGTACTATAGGCTTAAAGATTTGCTAATTTACTTTAATCCACTTAAACCTTTAAAGCATGGATAATGGAAAACAGACAAGAAAACTGTTTCCAAATGTAAAGACAATAGCTTCCTTCCCTCCAAAGAAGCATAAAGCCTTAGACAAGAGCCCTAAAAGGTCATCAACTTCTCCTTTCTCCCTAGACACCCCATCTCAAAGGTCACAGAAGCCTCATTCAGATGCCCTCAGCAAAGAACCTAACCACAGATGTACTGCAATCCCCCAAAGGGCAGCCAAAATCAATACTTCAACATTTAGGAGGAAGCTAGAGCTGCCAAGGAGGCTCAATGCACTATGGTAATGGTGTATGGAACTTCTTACACTGGACTATATAGGTGCTCAGATCTGAGGGTGATGAGGGTCATGGAACTAGATGGATGAATAGATAGAAGTGCTGACAGAATCCATGGGGGTACCACTACTACACATAACGACATGGACCATTTATCTGGGATAAGGACACAGTTCTTCAGGGGATTCTTATGCTGCAAGACACCAGTAAGAGGCCTATGATGTTTTTATGTATGGCACTGTAGGCCTCTGCAGTTAAAAAGGCTGCTCTTTTGCCTCTAAGCTCTTATTAAGGCCGGAGTCCGGACGGAGGTCAGAAAAAATCACTGGCAATGACTACAAACATATGCAGAAAAAAGCAACAATGGAAGCAACTAGTGATGATTTTATTATTATTACTGTATACACAATAATCTTGCTCTAAATGTCCACAATAATAAACGTGCCTTTCATTCAAAGATCTACAAATGCTTTACAAGTATGAAATAAGCCTCATGTTAGCCCTGTGAGGTTTAGAAGCAGCACTGAACCCACTTACGGATGAGGAAACTGAGGCAAAATTCAGTGAGTTGCCCAAGATCACAGAGTCAGTGGTAGAATGGTGATGAGAAACCCTGAGGTCTTATCTCCCAGCTCTCTGCTCTGACCTCGCTGCTTCCCAGGACGTGGACTCCAGAGCGGATTATCCTATTGTACCTTGCAATCAAGCTAAGGCATCCAAGGGAAGAGAATCTCTTACCTTCGAAAGCAATGGTGGGGTGTTCTCTTCTGATGCATTGCTGTTGCTCAGTTTCAGGATATTCGGGTGCATTCTGTGATGCTGAGAGATGAAAAGTGAGAAGGAAAAGGCTTGCCAATGACAGAGAAATGCGCTTTAATCTTGATACAACCATGATTGGAGGCCTGCTGCAGATCTAGCTTCCAAGGTAGGCCCTGAGAGGATACCTGCAATGCAAAGAATTTCATTTTAGAAAACATACATCCCTATCTAAAGTCTGCAACAACTCTCTGGGGGTGGTTTTCCTCTTTTATTACAAACCCACGTGTGTTAACTAGATGTGATAATATTCAGCAAACAATACATTGAAAAATTAAGTACCTTTATACAACTCTTAGCATGCAATATCAACAGAATTTGTAACGATACTGAAAAGTGCAAATACTCCAAATACATGTAAATGGCTCAGTATTAAGTAATTCAAGTAATGCAAATGCAAAAATAAACTGCTTAGAGGCAGTAGGAAAGAGGCACCAGGTAGCAACATTACAAATTAAAGCCATATGGTATGTTTTATTCTTGTCCCTATGGGTTCTGAATATTGCCATAAAGATGATCAGTAACTCTTCACACCCTCTAATATCTGCATCTGCAGCAACTACTATATATTATATCAAACATTATGTTAAAAGAACATTAAGATTGAAAAAATCAAGCACTCAGAAGTTAGGAAATGCCAAAATTAAGATTGCCCTAGCCCCTCAACTGCCTGCACCGATTAATTCCCTCATCCCACCACACACCGCCCATCTCTCATCTTCTCTGCATTCCAGAGTGGCTACTTCCTCCTTCTCTGCCTCATTGTCTGGCTTCCAGCAGGGTGTTTTACTGAGAACACAGGAGACGGTCTCCCTGCTGCAGACTGGAGCATGCTCAGTGCAGACAGAATCTTTAGAGAATTTAGCTGCCAAACTAACAAGTTTCTATTGAGCAGGTGCAAACTGAGATTTTTTTCCCAAAGGCTTATAACTTGGCCCGATGTGGGTGGTTTTTCATGGGAAGAGCAGAAGATATGTCCCTGACACCAGGGCAACCCCCTCCCCCTGCCACATTTCAAGCACCTGCTCCAAAGCAGGGGGTAGCTACGGCTTTGCAGTGAAATGGTTGCAATATTTTTTTAAAATACATGCAAAACAATGTATTTTCCCCTAATTTTGTTCTCAGAAACAACTGAACCATTTTAACTGAAACTTTCCAAAAAAATTTAAGCTGATTCAGACATCCACCATAGAAAATTTCAGCTCTAACAGTTACTTATATGGTAAGCAAGTTGGGGAAGGGGCAGTCTTCTTGTTCTGTGTTTGTACAGCACCTAGCACAATAGGATCTTGATCCATGATGGGGACTCCTATGGTAATACAAACAACAGATAATAAGAACAATAAAGTTTGACAAAGTTATAAGCAACTGTAATGGTCCTCACTTGGGGTCTAGCTGGAAAGTGGGGCCTAGTGGTTACAGCCATAATCCCTGACTGCCGGGGGGGTTGTGAGGAGGGGAGCCCGGGCTCCAACCCAGGACCCTTTGGGCTACCAGTAGTCTAGCAACCAAGTAAGGTTGCCAACTTTCTAATCGCACAAAACCGAACACCCCTGCCCCGAAGCCCCATCCCTGCCCCAAGGCCCCGCCCCCACTCACTCCATCCCCCTCCCTGTCGCTTGCTCTCCCTGACCCTCACTCACTTTCACCGGGCTGGGGCAGGGAGTTGCGGTGCAGGAGGGGTGTGAGGGCTCTGGCTGGGGGTATGGGTTCTGTGGTGAGGCTGGGGAGGAGGAGTTTGAGGTGCAGGAAGGGGCTCCAGGCTGGGGGATTCAGAGTGCGGGAAGGGGTGTGGACTCCAGCTGGGGGTACAGACTCTGGGGTGGGGCTGGGGATGAGAGGTTTGGGATGCAGGAGAGGCCTGGGGCAGGAGGTGTTGGGTGTGTGTGCAGGCTCTGGGAGGGAGTTTGGATAGGAGGGGACGCCGTGTTGGGGTAGAGGGTTGGGGTGAGGGAGAGGGTTCAGGGTGCAGGTCCTGGCGGCGCTTACCGCAGCTCCCAGGAAGCAGCAGCCACCCCTGCAGCCCCTAGGTGCATTGACAGCCAGTGAGGCTCCATGCACTGCCCTCGCATCTGCGGGCACTGCCCCCGTAGCTCCCATTGATCACACTTCCCAGCCAATGGGAGCTGCTTAGCCGGCATTCAGGGCACGGGTAGTGTGCAGAGCCTCCCTGACCACCTATGAGCCTAGGGGCCGCATGGACCCGGTGGCCACTTCCAGGAGACACTCGGAGCTAGGGCAGGCAGGGAGCCTGCCTTAGCCCCAGACCCCCACTGCGCCACCGACTGGACTTTTAACAGCCCAGTCAGCAGTGCCGACCGGACCCGCCAGGGTCACATTTCGACCGGGCATTCTGGTCGAAAACCAGACACCTCGCAACCCGACAACCAAGGCTGCTTAAGGCTGTCCTCCCTGGGCCTCTTCGTGTCATCCCTCGTCCCCCCTCCTATCAGGCCTCAGTCCAAGGCCTTCCCCTGGTGGGGAAATCCAAACCAAAAAGAAGTAAGAGGGAGTTACCAATGTCCAAGGTCACAGAATACTTCCCTCTCTGGTTGTATCTGGGGTGGGTCCTCCCTTCCCTCAAGGAGGCGCCGTTTGGGCAGCCGTATCAGAGCCTTTAGGCTTCCCTCTGCTCTGCTACAGCTATGGACTACAGGTCTGCTCACCTCCAACTCTGACACCCAAATAAACTACTTGTTTCCTCCCTTTTAATTCCTCCAGCAGATGGAGCATTTGCTGCAGTTGTGGTGGGAAGGGGCTGGCTGAACCCAAAATAATCCCTTAACCCCTTGTTGCCCAGTGTGGGGTGTGTACACCCCATCACAGCAATTGAAAATGGGATCCTAGAACAGGAAGCGTCAGGCAACTTTAACTAAGGGCAACACTAGCAGTTCCTCGTACCGTTAGAGGCTATGTCCAATTTAAATCCTTACTTGGGCTAACTCGACCCAGTGAAGTCAATGGGAATTTTGCCCGAATAATAAGTGATGAAAGACCTCAGAATTTGGCCCTTGGTGTTCACTCCTATTGCATCAGTGAGTTGTGTCTGAAAAAAAGATTCGGGATTTGGCTCGGTGGCAGTTTTGTCTGACACAGTGAAGTCAATGGAAAGCCTCAAATTGGTTGCAATGGGTTTCAATCAAAGCCCTCAATGCTGCAAAGTTACCACAGGAAGGTATTCAGGGTTTGGCCCAAAGGATTTTTCAAATCTTTTGCCTCCTTTTGAGTGGTTATGAGCACCATCAATCCCAAATTATGTCACTGATTGTTCTGACAGACATAGCAATTTCCTGTAATAGCCTTGGAAGACACTAGTGCATTAAGTTTATGTATTATTGAGGGCTGGGATTGTATGCAACCTCTCAGAGGGGAGATGTGACATACAGTGCAATCCCATGCAGCACCTTTGTGGTCCATTGTTTTAAATGAATGGTTTATGTATCACTGTGTTCTATTCCATGGGGGAGGGCTACTTTAGCTCCTCCAGGAACTAAAACCAGTGGGTGGTGATTAAGGCAAATCAGTCAGGTTATAACCCCCTCCGAGAGACAGGGCCGGCTCCAGGCACCAGCTTCTCAAGCAGGTGCTTGGGGCGGCCGCTTGGGAGAGGGGCGGCAGGTCCAGGTATTCGGCGGTAATTCGGCGGACGGTCCCTCACTCCGGCTCGGAGTGAAGGACCTCCCGCCGAATTGCCGCCGCAGATCGCAATTGCGATCGCGCCGCGGCTTTTTTTTTTTTTGTTGGTTTTGGCTGCTTGGGGCGGCCAAAACCCTGGAGCCGGCCCTGCCCAGAGAGGTACCATCTCCTGCGGAGGCTCACATATACTAGTTCAAACTACATTCTCCAGAGACCAACAGACAAAGAAAGCCTTTTGGATAAATAGCCTGAGTTTAAAGCAGACTGCAAAGGGATCTCACAAAACTGGGTGAGTAGGCAACAAAATGGCAAATGAAATTCAATATTGATAAATTCAAAGTAATATTTAAACATAATCCCAAATATACATACAAAATGATGGGGTCTAAATTAGCTGATATCACTCAAGAAAGATCTCGGAGTCATAGTGGATAGTTCTCTGAAAACATGCACTCAATGTGCAGCAGCATTCAAAAAAGCTAACAGAATGTTAGGAACCATTAGAAAGAGATGGATGATAAAACAGAAAATATCATAATGCCACTATATAAAACAATGTTACACCCACACCTTGAATACTGCATGCAATTCTGGTCGCCCCATCGCAAAATAGATAAATTAGAAATGGAAAAGTTACAGAGACGGGCAACAAAAATGATTACGGGTATGGAACAGCTTCCACATGAGGAGAGATTAAAAAACTGGCAACTAAGGGGGATATGATAGACATCTATAAAATCATGAATGGTGTGGAGAAAGTGTAATAAGGAAGTGTTATTTACCCTTTCACATAACAAAAGAACCAGGGGTCACCCAATCAAATTAACAGGCAGCAGGTTTAAAACAAACAAACGAAGTATTTCTTCACACAACGCATGGTCAACCTGTGGAACTTGTTGCAAGGGGATGATGTGAAGGCCAAAAGTTTTACTGGAGTCAAAAAGAATTAGATAAGTTCATAGAGGATAGGTCCACCAATAGCTATTAGCCAAGATGGTCAGGGATGCAACCCCATGCTCTGGATGTCCCCAAGCCTTTGACTGCTAGATGCTGGCCCTGGACTTCAGGGGATGGATGGATCTCTCAAGAATTGCACTGTTCTGTTCATTCCCTCTAGAGCATCTGGCATTGGCCACTGTCAGAAGGCAGGATACTGGGCTAGATGGATCATTGGTCTGACCCAGTATGGCCATTCCTATGTTCTTCTGTTGATTCAGGGCCTTCTTTCTGATCCAGCAAGTGGGTGGGGAGCTCTAATCCTTCCGGAAGAATTGGAAGGACTTGTCCTATTAGGGCCCAAATGACTGACAGGTGACCTTTGGTAAGATTTTTAGCATGTGTATAAGTTCTTTAATGTTTTCAATAGGTTTTCACTATAATGCTTTCACTTTAAGAACAAACGTACTTGCTTAGAAAGAGTTGTGTAGTCACTGACACCTATGGGCAATTACTCTGTTCATAGCCTCTGGAGAGGAAGCAAAGTGCAGACTCT